ATGAAATTCAATACCAGGAGAAGTCTGGGAGCCAATTTCAGAGTCAAAGTCAACAATTCAAATTGGGAAGAAATTGAAAGCACCAGGAGCAGTTGGGAGCCAATTGCAAGTCAAAGTCAATTGGGAGCCAATTACAATGGAGAAATTCAAATTGGGTGCCAATTACAAGCCAATTGAAATTGGGTGTCAATTACAAAGGAGAAATTCAAATTGGGTGGAAGTTCAAAGCCAGTTTGAAGTCTGAGAACACCCAGACGTGAGAATGAAGAAGATGAAGCAGAACTTACAGTGAAAAATATTCTCACAAGGAAAATACTAGTCTAACTAGTATGGGATTAAAATAAAGATTATTTTTGAATCCCAGAGATACAAGGACCACTTCAGAGCTCATCAGAGAAGCCATTCTACACCAAAACTGAGACCCAGATATTTCCACTCAACGTTAAACCAGAGGAATATCAGATGAAGTTTGGGAGCTCATTTACATGGAGATGAAACTCCATCAACGGCTAGCTTATCTCTTTCTGACATTTTTGCAGAAGATAAGATAAGATCTCTGACAAAAGATACAAGATTTCAAAAATGAGAGCGTCTCTTTCCAACGGACAGATTCTCATTACCAGCTATAAAAAGATGAAGATATGAAGACTTGAAGAACACAAGAGCAGTAGAGCAGATCACGAACTCACGAACAAGAGAGCAGAAAATTCGAATCCATCAAAGGGATCAAATAGAGCAATTAAGCTTGAAAGAGCATAGAGCAAAAATCTCATTTGGTACAGAGCATACCAAAAATCTTCAAGTGAGAAGTGAGAAAAGAAAAAGAACTCAGAGAGCTTCAAAAGAGAAAAATATTCTGAGAGTTCTTAAACAGAGCAAAGCAGAGCATAAATATCAAGTGTTTTACTTGATATATTCAAAAAGAGAAAACACTCAGAGCTGTCAAGAGAAATCATTCCAGAGTGTTTATCTTCATCAAAGAGACCTGCGCATCATTGAAGATCAACTACAGAGTCTCAGAAGTTGGAAGCAAGACAACACTTGTTTTGGAGCAAAACAAGAGAAGGGAGGAAAGTAGCACGGTGACTCAATGGTTCAGCAGACAGGACCAAATGTCAGTGCGAACAAGGAATCTGCCCACTTTGGACATAATTCCCGCACTGCCGCCGCCGAGGTTCAAACCTTGGTCTCTTCTCCCAAATACTGCCCACTAAACCATTGAGCTAAGCCCGTGCGGGTTAAATAGGTAATTTCTAAGTTTACAAATGCAAGATAATATAGTCAAGATTGATTATAATTGTCAATAAAATAATTGTATAGGTATGGTTGAAACCAAATACGGGACATAAGGGGGAACAAATAAAAATTAGGGCATAAAATATTAAATACATACTAATATTGTTTGAGGAGATTTCGACATTAGGATTTGTGGTTAAGTTCTATTAAGACTTTAATATTAGAATTAGATTAATGATGTAATTATAATTCTATATTAGACGTTAATATTAGAATTAGACTAACGGTGAATTAACGGAAAAGTTAAATGGATAATCATATAATTAAGGATAAATTAGAAAAATTTTTAAAAAAATTAAAACTTGAACAATTTGAACCATTCATTTGATTTAATAATTTGGCGGTCATTTTTTCTACCCAATGTTAATAATTAAATAAATTCGTTGGTCAAATCTGCTAATATAATCCGCTAACTGCGAATTGTCAAACAAGGACATTGCAATGTAGTTCTCACTTCAATTTGTTGTGTGATTTGAATACTCTCTTTGTCACAAAAACTCTCAAGTAGTTAATATGGTTGGCTTTATTAATTATATATTTTTTTAATTTTTTCATGGTATTAATAAAATACTTCGTAAATAAATATATAGCATTATTTTGTATTATAACTTTGAAATTTAATTAGAAAAATAGTGCAAAAAAAATATAATAGACAATGTAGTGAATATAATCAATTGATGAATTTGAATGTAAAAATTTTTACATTTGAGAAAAATAAAGACAATATAACTAATGAAAATATTTCTCTTAATTAATTTATTGATAATGAATAATTTTTTTTTTTCACTGAATTAAGACATTGTAAGGACAATGTAGCGAACATAATCAATTAATAAATTTGAATATAAAGAATTTTTATATTGTAGAAAAATAAAGACAATATAACTAATACAATTATTTCTCTTATTTAATTTATTGATAATGAATAATTTTTTTTTTGAATAAAGGCATTGTGGACACATAATTCTAAATTAAAGAAATGCATATCTATAATTTTTTGTTGTAGCTACTAAATTATTATTTATATAATTTAATAAGAGTAAAATAGAGTACTAATTATGCAAATTTTGATTGGAATGAGGTTCGAACCTAAGACCTTTTTTTTTTTTATTATTGAAATCAATGAGTAAGTTAACGGTGAACTAACGGCAATTCTTAAAATTTTAACGGAATTAGTAACGGTGTGTGGGTATTTTAGGAAATTTTAGTGTAAAATTTAAATCTTATCAATCTTTTAATTAATATGAGCCATTCATTTGATTAAAATCTGTGACCGCCATTTTTTCTTCCCATTATAGGCCTAACTCTCTTGGGCTCTTATTAGTATAGTAGAAGTAGAAATTTTAACGGAATTAGTAACGGTGTGTGGATATTTTAGAAAATTTTAGTGTAAAATTTAAATCTTATCAATCTTTTAATTAATCTGAGCCATTCATTTGATTAAAATCTGTGACCGCCATTTTTTCTTCCCATTATAGGCCTAACTCTCTTGGGCTCTTATTAGTATAGTAGATAGTAGATACTTTTTTTTTTTATTTTTTTATTTTTTTATTTTTTTTGGTAGTGTGTCATGTGCATTTGGGTTATTGGTAGTATCATAGAGGGATTCATCATGCAATGAGATTATGGTGTATGAAGTTTTAGATTTGTCTTGTTGTGTATATGACTGAGTTCTTAGTTGTGCTATGAACTCTTTATTTTACAAGCACATGTTGATATTTGGTAGCGGTAGTTTTCCCCTACATGTTTCACGTGTTGTGAGACATCTAATTCTAAATTAATTAAATGCATATGTATTATTTTTTGTTGTAGCTACTAATTTATTTTTTAATTTAAGTAATAAGAGCAAGTGGGAAAATTATGATGTAGAACCGTGTCCACCTTGCAAGGTGGACAAAGGTGGACACGGTTCCAAAACTGTTCATAATTATGAATATATAGTTCAAAAATTATGAACATAGAGTTATGAACATATAGTTCTGTAATTATGAATATAGAGATTCAATAATTGTGAATATGAAGTTAAAAAATTATGAATATATAGCTTTATAATTATGAACATATAGTTCAATAATTATGAACACAGAGTTCTGTAATTGTGAATTAGAGTTCAATAATTATGAATATGAAGTTCAAAAATTATGAATATATAGCTTTATAATTATGAACATATATTTCAATAATTATGAACATAGAACTGTGTTCACATTGCAAGGTGGACACAGTTCCACAACATAACGATTGAATAAAGTGGCGTACATACTTTTCATCTACAATAATGAAATCATTGATTTTTTTTTTTTTTTTAAATTTCCATTCGTTGTTGAGACAAATTGTTTTGAGAGTTTGTCAATGACAATTGCGGTCAATAGATGATGATAATAAATAATTCAAAATATAAAATTACAATAGATATTATTATAACAATATAGTAAAAATTAATTTACAAATTTCTTTAGAAGTTTTCATGTATTGGTAAAAGCATAATTGAAATAATAAGTTTTGTTCTCAATAATCAAAAGAAGATTAATTAAACGAAAAAAAAAAAAAACCGAACTTAAATTTATTAAATTTATTATTTTTTTAATGAAAGAAAATAAAATGATTATAAAAGTTCTTGATTTATAATCATTAAATGCTATGTATTTAGTCGGGCTAATTATTTGACCAAAGTTTATGTTAAATTTTATATTTTATTTTTTAATACATTTTAACATATTCGTAGTATATGTTTAACAATTATGCTAACTCTAATTGGAATGATGTTCGAACCTATAACCTTTCTTATAGAAATTAATGAGTATATAAGTTAAGAATAATAAATAGTTAACAGAATATTCCGTTAATAAAGTTTATACTAACGAAATTTAAGGTTATTTAAGGAAAGAAAATAATATAATAAAGGGTAAATAAGGAAAATCGTCAAAAATACTAAAATCAAAATACTATGAACCATTTATTTTAAAAAACAAGTAGTACCGACATTTTTTTTTATTCCAATTAAGGGCCTAACATTATTGGCTCTTATTAAAATTGTAAAATATATATATATATATATATATATATATATATATATATATATATATATATATATACATATATTGTAGCTATGTCACTATAACCACATTATTATGATTACATTCATTATCATCTTATTTTACTTATCACTATCTTCTATCTTTTCTACTTACTTTACTTATTTAAACATAATTTATTTACTTATACTTTAAAGTTAGACATTATTTACATTATCAAAATTAAGAATTAAATTTTATATAATATCTTAAATTTTGATTGAACTCAATAGATTATTAGTTCGAATATTTTTAATTATGCTACATCATAATACAAGTTCAGTCCAGATATCAGATATTGAAATCTCACATATATTAGAATTCAAAGTAAAAGTTATATATTCATATACATGTCATTCAAATGAATATATCCAAAATATATATATATATATATATATATATTTTAAATTATTAGCTCAAAAAATATTAATATTATCTAAACTAAATTTTAGGTGAAAACTTAAAAATTAGAAAACAAAAAATAAATAACAGTTATCTATTAATAAACAAGTTTTCTAAACTGAAAAATTAGAAAACAGAAAACAAAGAACAGTTTTCTGTTAATATTTTTTCCTCAAATTTGAAGAATTCAAACTCCATTAACCAAACAATATTTTTTTTTTTTTTCCTCAAAATTTATGAATTCCAATTCTAAGGAATTCATTTTCCTATAACCCAAACACTCTGTAACTCTGTAAGTTTCCTAAAGTGTCTGCAACTGCCAAACAAAGCAAACTATTAACTCTTCTTTGGACTCACAAATTGTTTATTTATGTAACAATGTTTGTGTTGTATGTTCTATAAATTGTATGGATGATGACAGCAAACTTGTTCTTTGGAATGACATTTTTTAGCTACCAAACGGCCTCTAGAGAGAGTCATCGGAAGAGCTTGCGAAACAGCAACAGAGACCTTTCGTTTTCTTCATCTTCTTCTTCTTCCGGCAGTTTTTGGCAACAGGCTGGTCCATCAACCAGCTTGTGCCGGGAGAATCTGCAGCTCCATTCATCGGAGAATTTGCTTCTGGCACGAGCAGATCAGCGCTCATATTTCTGAGAATGTTTTCTAAGGTTTCTGATATTTTCTTGAACTCTGGTCTGTCTGCAGGGTTCTCCGCCCAACAGGCGCTGATGAGGGAGCCAATGTTCCTCGGGATGTCATCCACATTAGGCCTCATGTTCTGAGTCGACGACAGAAAACAAAAACAGTTACACCATTTGGTCTCGTTCAACAATACAGTTACAACATGTTTGGTTCACAGAACAGATGGATGATGGAAATGGTAAAAGGAGTCGTGGCCTCGTAGGGGCATACCTTGGCTGATGCATATGCCACCATGACGCTGTTTCGTCCTTTGTAAGGAGTTCTGTTTGTCAGCAGCTCCCAAAGAATCAACGAGAAACTGTAGACATCCACCTTATGATTGTAATGCTTCCTCATTCCCAAAGGGTCCATGTTAAAGAGCTGTTACAGATAAGGCGTAAGTCCTTGGATTCGATAGGAGAGGATGTAAAACGATGATCTCGCATATGTAAAATACCTCGGGAGCCATCCAACGATAGGTTCCAGTTTCAGTAGTCATTTCGGTTTCTGACTCCTCCCTGGCCAGTCCAAAGTCTGCCAGCTTAATTTTCTTGTCGTCAGTGAGAAGAAGATTACCTGTAATTACCATATGTTTGTCAGTTTGATTGAATTCCAAACATGAAACTTTAAGAAAAAGGACTAAAATAGCATCTAATGAGTATATAGGCAGACATTACTGGGTTTCAAGTCGCGGTGAATGATGCCATTAGTGTGCAAATGTTCCATGGCTCGACAGATATCCAATGCGAAATTTAAAGAAAGCTTCAAATCTGGGCATTTGGGTCGGATACTCCACAAGTACTTTTGAAGTGTACCACATCTCATAAGTTCTGTAACTAAAAGCAAGGCTGGTTCCACGGTGGCACCAATAAACTGACAAAGCATATAACATATCTGAGCAACTGAGAGAAAGCCGCCAATTTCTAAACAGGAGATCGATTTTCAGTACGTAATAAGCATCTTTTTTGAAAGTGATGAAATTCAAACGCATTGAGGCAATAGTAAAGGGATCAAAGAAGACACACTGATTACAAATAGCTGAATTGCAAGAAAGGTTAACCGCGAATAAGACAAAAGAAAAATTTAGTTACACAAATAACTCTTTAGAGCTATTTAACTTTTTTCTTTTTTTGGGTGACGAGGGAAACCCGCAGCCACTACCCGAGGGTGTGTACTGGGTAAACCCACCTTGTGACCCCAACCAGGTTAGTCAGGGCTACAAGTCAACATCTAGTAGTAAACAACAATAACAAAGATAACAAAGTTTCAGTTTCACTTTCCAAGTCGTATATAAAAATTGCAATGCCATTAAAATGACATAACCCTCCCTAGGATAGATTGTAGAAATCTTTTCATAGTTAGACTTCCCAAGTCATTGGCAGGCAAACTTACAAATTCATGCCAGATAAATTAAAAGCACATATATAGTTGTCAACACATATCTTGCACGATAAGAACGGGTACCTTCACAATGTTTTCATGTTGCATTCTAGCCAACAGCATAACTTCCCGCTCAAATCTGCCTTTCCGCTCAGGACTCACATTCGCCGATTTTTCTGGCAGTATTACTTTTATAGCGACAGGTGTAGATTTATACCTGGAACATGGTACATAAGAGGGAAAAAACAAGAAATACATCATGACAGTGGATAACAAAAGCTGAAGTTTTATCACCAATCAACAAGCAAATGCCCCTTATGTGTATGCAATTTCCTATTAATTACATCGTAACTATTGATTCTTGTGACAGTCAACTTTTGAAACGCTAACACTAGGAAACAGGAACTAATTTAAGCAGTACAGTAACTTTTACAGTCTTACTGTATTACTACTGATTTCATAAGGAAATTCCACGCAAAGGGAAAGAAGGGAGATAAACCCCTCATTTAGTGAAGTCTACAATTATGGATTCTTAATAACTCATAATCTAGTTTGAGTTATTAGTAGAGTACTCACTCAATATAGCTAAAACGTGTCATACAACCTATAATGCACAATCTTTCCAAATGTGTAAAAACTTGATTATTTAATATAGAACTTCAATGATTTAATCAAATAAGCGTTCCAGACACCATGAAGATTATTGCTCAACAAAATGCAACAAGAATTCCTTCCAACTACACACTTTATGTAACGGAAACACTTCTCTAAAAGTTCATGAATATTCTAACTCTTTTTAAGCATATATCCAACCTTGCTGGTTTTGGATAGAATAACAGCTTGTAACATGTTTGCATGGTAAAACTATTGATTGCATCAGACTCTCACTCAAAGTTCACGAGTAAATTAAGTCAAGAAAAGTTCGAGTATAGCCAAGGACTATTTATTAATGCATCACTTTTTTCCTATATTTAAATTTCGGGACAGCAGTTTTGCCTTTACTGTGCACGGTTTGCTCAGCATTTCTTTCTGAAATCATGAACTCTACGCTATGTTTTGACATAAACTCAAGAATTCGATTCCAGTATCAATAACACAGTTAAGCAGATGCAAGAAAATCAAGAAATCAAGAAATTAACACAATGCCCAGAACAGAGAAGCCCCTCATCCTTCAGTAGATGTCTTATGCATCCAAAAAAAAAAAAAAAAAAACCAGCAAACCCTTTATCTATGATGGTTTGCTTCTATTAATATCAAAATTCATTTCCCAGGACACAAATTTAAGTTGATTCCCCATCAACATAAATTCCCATGAATTCTATCTACAACAAATCTGAAATACCCATTTCTCATTTCTTCACCAAGCATTTATCATTTTAGGGGAATAAAAAACCAGTCAATCTCTCTGGGCAAATCAGACCCAGCATTCCAAAAATCAAGCAAAATTCAGTTCAAGATTAGAATTGGAGCAGCAAATGCTATCATTAAAAAAAAAAAAAAAAAAAAAAAAAAACTTACAATCCTTCATAGACAATGGAGTAGGGGCTGTCTTTGATCATGGGCCCAAAAGAGAGCTCATGAATATCGATCAGAAGCGTCTTATCAATCCTGACACCATTGAGCTCAGCACGATTCTTTCCAACTGAAGTAGAGCGAGAAAGGGCGCCACTCTGATCGGCCATTTGTAGAGAGAAAGAGAGAGAGAGAGGAGTGTATGCCCTCTCTGTGTGTATGAACAAGCGCGGCGGGGATCTATTTGAATCACATTTTATCTCCAGCCTGAGGGAATAACTCTTACACGCAATACATTTTTCAAGTTTATCTCAGCATTCATCATAGGACTGAAATTGATCGTTATCGCAGCGTTGTGTTGTTGTTCTAGACTCTAGTGTGAATGTGTGCCACGTGCATTTATGGGGTTAAATATGGGGTTAAATTACTCGTCTTCATGCTCCGTATTTCGCTAATAATAATAATTTTCTTTCCGTACGTGTTCATTTACTATCCGTATCTAATACGGAGTATGTTATGCAAATTATTTACTACGGAGTAATTCTTACCCGAATGTCACACCTATATGTACTTTCAAATCTTATTTTCTCAAATTTACTTTCTGATGTGATAGATTCTGATATATATATCATCGTAGACCATGACTGATCATCCGTATTGTGAACCCTAGTTCATATTATGTACATGTTATTAATATATTATTATTATCTACCTTCACTTTTTTTACTTACTGTCCACATATTATGAACTTATTATGATGTTAAAACATGTATATAATCAAGGAACTTAAGATCTATAATGTGTTACTTGCATGTACATAATATGAATCATGGTTCACAATGTGCATGGTGGACACTGATCCACGATATAATTTGTGCTTGTATGATTTACAGACTATTACATAGGAGTATTGGGCAAATTATGCTCTGCAACCCTGTGCACCATGCATGGTGTACATGGAATTGGATTCATAATTTTTATACTATAGATTCATAATTATTGAACTCTATATTCACAATTACAAAACTCTATGTTCACAATTTTCGATGTTCATATAATCATATTCTCAATTGTTGAACTCTGTATTCACAAATCAATAAACTATATGTTCATAATTTGATAATTATACAATTTAGAAATTATGAATCTATAGTATAAAAGTTATGAATCTATAGTATAGAAATTATAAATACAATTCTGTGTGCACTTTGCATGGTACACACGATTGCAAGCATAACGCTCCAGAGTATTATTTACATAGTGCATAGTATCATATAATGATTAAAAATTTCTCGAATTTCTGCATCATCCAAAAAAAATTGTATTTAGTAATTCGTGATTTAATATCTAAAAACATAATAAGTTTCAATCAAAGTTATATCCCTCATTTTTGTCCATGTTTTTAATGCTAATCATTTTGTACATTGTGCTTTTAGAGTTGTACTATATAATTTTTTGGACAAAAATACCCCTACCGTTATAACTTCCGTTATCTTTTTCATTATTGTTACCATGCACATGCATTCACCATATATTTTCTTATATTCTTTAATGATAATAATATTTGTAGACATTATATATTTTATTATTATAATAAATAAATTTGATTTCATATATATAGATTTTAATTAATAGGAATTTATTAGTTATTTTAAAAATATATAAATATTGGGCATATGTTTTTGCGCATCGCGCATAGAAAAGACTAGTTTAAAAATAAAAGGTAATGTTACAGGTCACTCCTAAATTTCCCTTACCATCTAATAAGATTTTTCCTAAATACGGAGTAATTATTAAATAGGTTCTTTTTTAATTTACAATGAAATCTGCCAATTAATTGGGTTTTTTTCCCTATATAATTACTAAATAGTTTCCTTTTTTAATTTACAATGAATTCTGCAAATTTATGGATACATATTTATTGTTAGGTTAGAGAGTGAACTTAATAAGGAAAAACAGCATTATTTATATTTTTAAAAATGGTGTTAGAATTTCCTATTCAGTAGTCTATAATTTTTTTTTTTCAAGCCATGAGGTGTACAGTGTACTGAATGGCAAATTTTACTATGATCCGTAAAGTAAGTATCATTTTAATTACACTTTAGTTTCATTTGACAATATTTCTCTATTTTTTAGTTTCATTTTCCATACTCACTAGTTTCATTATAGCAATACCAAAGTATCATTTTAATTATACTACAGTTTCATTTGACAATGTGTCAATATACATTATTGTATGGGCTCTATTTTGTTGTTTTATTTTCCACACACTAATTTAATTATAATAATGCTAAAGTATTGTTTCAATTACACTCCACGCTCATTTGACAATATATGTCATTGTATGATTCTGAATTTTAGCTCCATTTTCCACACACACTAGTTTCATTTTAACAACATTAAAGTATCATTTTAATTATACTACAGTTTCATTTGATAATACGTTGTTGAATGAGCTCTGTTTTTTAATTTCATTTTTCACACACACTAGTTTCATTTTAGCAACACTAAAGTATCATTTTAATTCTACTACAGTTTCATTTGACAACCATGGTCCATGCACCTAGGTGCACACGAGTAGTTGCACCTATAGTTATAAGTAGGTGCACCTAGGTGCATGAATGTTTACGGGGAAGTGAATGTTAACAAGGCAAAATTATATGCACTTATAGGTGAAAGTAGTTGCATCTATAGTTATAAGTAGTTGCACCTATAGTTATAAGTAGGTGCACCCATGTGCATGAATGTTTGCGGGAAGTGAATATATATGGGTAATTTGGTAATTTTTGCATCTAGGTCAAATTTAAGGTACGTGGTTTTCCTTCTTAAGGTGCGTAATTTTTATGTTTAAGGTGAGTTGTTTTGTATTGTGTGATTAAGGTGCGTCAGTTGTTGAAAATTTAAGTGCGTCGATCTAAAGCTTTAGGTGCGTTGTTTTCCTTCTTAAGGTGCGTGGTTTGTGTGTTTGAGGTGAGTCAATTGTTGAAACTTAAGGTGTGTCAGCCTAAAGCTTTAGGTGCGTGGTTGCCTTCTTAAGGTACGTTGTTTTTCTTCATAAGGTGCGTGATTTATATGCTTTAAGGTTCGTTAGTTGTTGAAACTTAAGGTGCGTAATTTTAAAACTTTAAGTGCGTGATTCGTGTTCTTAAGGTGTTTTGTTTGTGTACTTAAGGTGCACCATTTAAAAACTTTAGGTGCGTGATTTGTCTTCTTAAAGTGCGTGATTTGTGTACTTACGGTGCGTCTTTTTGAGTTAACCGCATGGGAAGCTACATCTGCACATAAACCCTTATATATATACTAGTTTTTTACGTGCATTGCGCGATTGGGATAATGCCCAATGTTTTTTTTTTAAATAAGTACTTTAAAGTATATTAAGGCAGGATTATATTGAAATTGTTCATGCATAGATAATTGAAGGTTGAATTTGCGTATTTAAATAGATAATTCTTCTCCCAAATGTTGAGTCTCCAACCCCAAGGGCCCTCCACACTCCGACCCAACAGAGCATTGTGGGAGGTTGTAAATGCTGATACGCACAAGGAATCTGCCCACTTTGGACATAATTCCCGCACTGCCGCCGCCGAGGTTCAAACCTTGGTCTCTTCTCCCAAATACTACCCACTAAACCATTGAGCTAAACCGGTGCGGGTTAAATAGATAATTCTAAGTTTACAAATGCAAGATAATATAGTCAAGATTGATTATAATTGTCAATAAAATAATTGTATAGGTATGGTTGAAACCAAATACGGGACATAAGGGAGAACAAATAAAAATTAGGACATAAAATATTAAATATATACTAATATTGTTTGAGGAGATTCCGACATTAGGATTTGTGGTTAAGTTCTATTAAGACTTTAATATTAGAATTAGATTAATGGTGTAGTTATAATTCTATATTAGACTTTAATATTAGAATTAGACTAACGGTGAATTAATGGAAAAATTAAATGGATAAGCATATAATTAAGGATAAATTAGAAAATCTTAAAAGAAAAAAGTTAAAACCTGAACAATATGAACCATTCATTTGATTTAATAATTTGGCGGTCATTTTTTCTACCCAATGTTAATAATTAAATAAATTCGCTGGTCAAATCCGCTAGTATAATCCGCTAACGCTAACCGCTAACTGCTGATTGTCAAACA